TGAAACCCATTTTAAAATCAAACATTGCATTACCATGAAAATGGTACATCAATATCATGTTACAAGATGTTTTCGTTCATGAATTATACAAATTTAAGTTTTGGATCCACCTCTAGAAATAATACAGGTTTTTTTTTGTGTTTTTTTTTTTGCATTTGAAAAGCGAGATGTTCTGTTACTGCTTCTGTTTGTAATATGTAATATTTTTATCTGGAGTTATTCATTCATTTAGCAGGATCAGTGCAGATTTGTTACTGGAGATACAGTGTGGAAACACAGACCAGTGCTGAAGAGGAGATGTTAGAAGTTTATAATGAATTGTTGCTCAGTCAGCTCACCCTGATCACACATTACCAGCTAAAAGTGCTATATTAAGTCAGCATCCCTATGGATTTTAACTGCTTTGAATCTTTTCCTTTCGCAAGTGATATATTCCCACCTGTGCATGTACAGACCCCCTCTAATCATCATATATTTACAGGTAACAACACAAGGAAGGGGGCTTCAGCTTTGCCGTGCCAGCCGTGGTAAATACAGGAACATCCTTCATGAAGATGTGCGAGAGAAGCGTGCAAGATCAGAAAAACCTCTCTTCGTTTTCATGCACTTTGGGATATTTATCTAGTTTTTTTGTAATTGTTAAAGTTATGTTTTATTCCCTGTAAAGCAGGAATAATAAATGTTTGTATAAATGTAATCTGTTTTTAGAGCGCAGTGTCAGTGAAGATGGAGTGGTCAGGGATTCTGCTGTTTGAGGAGATCTGAAGGAACATCTCCCAGCTTTACTACGATGAGCGCTGATGACTGAGTAATTCAGCTCTTAGCTGATGCACATGTGCTCAAACGTTTACATGCGATATATGACATGGAAGTATGTTTTAGTTCACATGAATTGCTTGTCAGTACATTAGTAGTACACTTTAACCATAGTTTAAAGACACTAGAAGCAATGATGAACATATAATTGTACATATAAAGATGTACTAAAAAGTCCCACTTAAGTGGTTTAAAAAAAACTCTCAAAAGTTCAACTTATTGCATTTAATATAACTTTAAAATGTGATACATTTGAAATGAATTACAAATACAATGTATTTAAGCGGCGAAAATAACATTTAATTTGCACTTATACAGTATGTGTTCTTTTAAAGTATATTATTTCCGCAATAAGTACACTTTATAAAAGCATACTTAAATGCACTTCTTTTTCACAAGGGTACTGTTACAGTTCTAGTAGTTGTGTTGTTTTTATTTGTTTTTAAAAGACCATATAGTTTTTGTTGTTGTTGTTGTTTATTTTAGTACTTGAATAAAAATCAGAAAGGTTGCTTTGACAACTAGATGAAATACAATATTGAAACTCATTTTATTTGAGTTCATTTTTAAGTAATTATATGCTCATTTGTGCTCCTGTTAGTTGTTTTTTTTAACTGTGTTTATTGAACCTTTTTTTTTTAACAAAACACTGTTACATAACTTTTACTTATAATATTGATACATGAAAAGTAAATGAATAAATAAATAAACACTAAGAAAGAAAAAAAACTAAACAAAAAAAACCAACAAAAAAAAAACACAAATTTACAAATAAATACAGAAGTCCCTGACAGCAGTTCAATAAATGCACCACATACTGGCAAATGATCTGCATGGTTCAAACATTAATATATATTAGAGCTATTTCCTTCAAGCAACTATGCTTCAATAAGTGCCCACTTCTGTCGAAAAAAGTCAGGTTTTAACTGCAAGTCCGCGGTCATTTTCTCAAATATATATATCTGAAATAAGACTGGAGACATCGCATCTCCCTGACGAGTTCCCCTACCTAAATTAAAAAACTCTGAGCAATGTCCATTAACTCGAGCTCTTGACTTAGGATTTTTGTAAAAAGTCTTTACCCATTTAACAAAAATATCATGAAATCCCATAGAATTAAGAGTCTGCTCCAGAAACACCCAGTCCACCCTATCAAATGCTTTCTCAGCATCTAGGCTAAGAAGTATTGAGGGTGTTTTACTGTCTTTTCCAATTTGTTGTAAGTTTAAAGCTTTTCTTATATTATTTATGCCATACCGCCCATTGATAAATCCAGTCTGATCCAGTTTAACCAATTTTTTTATATGTTTTTGAATTCTGTTTGCTAGTATTGAAGTTAAAATGTTCATATCCTGACAAAGCAAACTTATTGGTCTATAAGACATACATTGCGTAGGGTCTTTTCCAGTTTTATGAATTACAGTAATAATTGCATCAGACCATGAGTGCGGGGTGTCTTCATTATTTAATACATAGTTAAACACCTTACATAAATTAGGAGCCAATTCATTTACAAATTCCTTATAAAATTCCCCGGGAAATCCATCTACGCCAGGTGACTTATTATTTTTGAATTTTGCAATAATCTCTCTTATTTCTTCTTCTGTGATAGGGGATATCATTTCCTTTGCTTCTTCTTCTGTTAGTTTATTTAATTCAATTGGTCGCAGAAAACTTTTAACTTTTTCTTCCTTATTTATTAATTTCTGGCCTTCATATAATTTTTTATAATAATCTTCAAATGCATTAACTATATCATTTGGTTGTGTTAGCATTATTGAGGTATCTGGGTGTGTAATTTTTGGAACTACCCTACTTGCTTGAGCTTTACGTAATTGGAAGGCTAGAAGCCTGCTTGCTTTATTACTCATCTCATAATATTTTCTACTTACGAATCTGAGTGCCCCCTCTGCTTTATATGTAAGCAAATCATCCAATTTCTTTCTTTCCTGTTTTAAACATTCTAGAGTTTTAATGTTACCTGTTTGTTTATGTTCAATTTCTAGTTTTCTGAAATTGAAGTTTATCTCATTTTGTTTGGCTAATCTCAATTTTTTATTCCTGGATGTTATTTCTATTATTTTACCTCTCATCACTGCTGTGGCTCCCTCCCACAAAATAGATGGCGTAACCAATCCATTATCATTGATATCAAAGTATTCAATCAGTTGTTGTCTTATTTTTTCTTTGGCCTTGCAATCATTTATCGCTGATACATTTAATCTCCAGTATTTAAATTGTTTACCTTGTCCTAACTGAAGTTTTAACCTGACTGGAGCATGATCGGATATAGTTATGGGATCTATATGACATTCTGTGACACTGTGTAAATCTGCTCTAGATGTACAAAAAAAGTCTATTGTAGAGTAACTGCCATGTACATGTGACAAAAGTAAAATCCTTCTCTTTAGGACGCAAGTGTCGCCAAACATCTGTTAAACCTAATTCTCTAATTATTCCTAAAAGAGCTTTTACTTTTTTTGACTGTGGTCCCCTATCCAATGGCAACTTATCAACATGACTATCTAATACACAGTTAAAGTCCCCACCAATTAAATACATTCCTTCACCTTTCTGTGCCAACAGAGAGAAAACATTCTTGAAAAATTGTGGATAGTCTTCATTAGGTGCATAAAGATTAAGAATCGTAATTTTGTTCCAACTACCATGATGTATCTCCCCTCTTTATCTTTGTATACTTGCTCCACATTAAAGAAGACTGACTTGGCAAACATGACTGCAACACCTCTCCTCTTCCCCTTGTTATATGAGGCACTATAAACTTGGTCCACCCATTCCCTTCTCAGTTTGAAATGTTCCCCATCAGACAGGTGGGTCTCTTGAAGCAATGCAATAGAACATTACATCTTTCTAAGCTGATTAAATATTTTCTTTCTTTTAATTGGGCTGCTCAGACCTTTCACATTATAACTGACACAAATGAAATTCTCCATTGCTAGATGTTGTATGTGTTAGTAACCAACATGTTCCAGTAATGTATTAAAAAAAATAAAGTAAAAATAAACCCAGCTTTAGCTGGCTGATAAACATGGCGGTCAGTTTGTGTGCAAACCTGTTTCTGAGCAACCTCTGAGGTCAGTTCTAGAGAGAGATTGAGGAGGAGTTGCTGTAGGTGATACACCGTCGAGCTTTCGGACGCAGCCAAAATGTGTAGAAATGTCCATGAGATCTCCGTGAACCCATGAGCCGGTGTCCTCGTTTATTTCACATCAACCCTGATCACTTTTATACATTTGTAGGCCTTTTTAAAAATGCATTCGTAACCCTAAAACCCTAAGAGTTGTAGTTAATAGTCTCTATTGTCCTGATAAAGCAAACACAAGCCCATCACATGAATAAAATACACATAGGCTAATATACTGACACATTTAATATCCAATTAATAGCATTTAATAGATTACACTTTCAATAAAACTTTCACAGTTGCTCAGGGGCGCCATAAGAGGAAGGTTAGGGCAATTCCAAGGGCCCTGTGAGGGACGGGGCCCCTGCAGTATGTAGAAGCTGTTTTTCTGCATGTTTTATCGCATTAACAGCGCTCTGACCAGCAGGCGGCAGCAGCGACATTATTATTATTATTCTTGTTGTTGCTGAGGATGATGCTCTTGTGATATTTTATGACCGGGGCTTTTATTTTGAAGGGCGTGCGCTGTTGCAGTGATCACGTGGTCGGTCCCGTGATAGAGTCGCTGATGCGCGCAGAGCCGCTCAAAGCGATATTAAAAATAAGAGATCCGTGAATGTGAAAGTCATTTCATTTGTTCAGCTGTCGGGAGTGTTTCGCAGCAGAAGTGTGGCTTACAGCGCGATATTTCGATGTGACTGATGTCATTCTGTCTGCTAAAGGCTATAGAGACGATGCAAGGATCGAAACAAATGAACGATTTTAACAGGTTTGACTTGTAAAAATAATATACGGTCTCATAGACTGAAAAATGATACACGTTACGCTGTTTCGATAAAGTCTGTGTAAAATATCCGCTGTGCTTGATGCAGATATCCGCTTAGCATTAGCATTAGCATTAGCCGCAGATGTGCAGTCAGTGCTCACGTGACTCTCTTCATAAACGGTGATGATCAAACACTCGCGCCGCAGCATATAGATCCACGCGACACACACACACACACACACACACACACACACACACCTGACAGCCGATATCATGGCGAACGTGACGGATCTGCAGAGTAAATACAGTAAACTGGCCCAGGAGTACTCAAAGGTGAGCTCTTCATCAACAGACAGTGATTAGAGAGTGGTTTCACACTGTCTCCTATCATTTGTCATTTCATCTTCTAACGTTAAAAGTGTTTAAATGATTAAATGTGTTCTGGTGAACTGTATAAGCAGTGGTGTGTGTGTGTGTGTGTGTGTGTGTGTGTGTGTGTGTCAGCTCAGAGCTCAGAATCAGGTGCTGAAGAAGGCCGTGGTGGACGAGCAGACCGCCTCCTGCTCCCTGAAGGTGTGTGTGACGTCTGGCCCGCTCCTGCGCTGGAGCCTGGTGGTGTGTTCACGCGCGTGTGTGTGTGTCACTCGCTCACTCGCTCACACACTCACTCGCTCACTCGCTCACTCACACACACACACACACACACACACAATCACACACACACACAGAGCTCTGTCAGAGTTGATGAGGCATAAATGAGCCGATCAGGAGCTCTTACTCCATCATTCACTGTCCAGCCACAAGATTAGGATTAGTTTCAGAAATCACAGGGACCAAATGAGATGCTCTCGTACTCTGACACTTGAGAGCGGGAGGACGTTTAACATGCATCAGCAGTCATTATTGTTGGTTTGTGTGTGTTTGCGCAGAATAAAGGTGACTCTCCATCTCAGGTCAGCCTGCAGACACAGAGCGTGTTTGATGAAGACCTGCAGAAGAAGATCCAGGAGAACGAGCGGCTTCACATCCAGGTGTGTGTGTGTGAGACGCAGATTGATTCTGTACATCCGGCTGTGTTTGAACCGTTTTCTGATGAGCTTCATCACACAGTGAATGCATGGACTCTCATGACATGTTATGACATACTCAGTAATGTCATCTCAAACAGCGTTAAAACAACAGTTCAGATATCATTGTACAAAATACATATCACACAGACATGCACACACAGAAACATTCTCAAACACAGCAACTCATTGTCAACGCTGTCCCTTGACTTTTATCAATAAAACAGCTTGGTTACAGAAAAACTACATGATATTTCTTAGCAGTGAGGTGGGAATGTCACTGTTTTTAAAGTAATTCACTTCACACACACAATCTCTCACTCTTGCGTTATCTCTCTGTCTGATTTAGAACAGGCAGAATTGTGCATCAGATCTGACCCGTATACAAACTAACTAATAAAAATGAAAAAAAATGTTTGCTTCATGTCAAATTCAATTTGATTCATTTAATTTGACCAGCAAGGTTAAGGGGTCAATTTTATTGCCTTTTCTTAGGTCAGAATGTGCAGAATAGCTCCAGATTACACTGTGTCCTAACTACACGCAACACACGATAAAAGGTGTCTTTTCCATGTTAATCAGAGTTTTTGTCCTAACTAGCCGTGACGCGACACACTATTTCCACAACGCTGCGGCTGGAACAACAACATACAAACTATATGCCAATAGATAATCTCAGGTGATCATGTGCTTTATTCAAAGTTAAACATGCCTAATGTGAGTTTGAATGTCATTTTGCGTGACTTTAAAGCCATACTGAAAGCAACAATAGATCTTGAAAATAAATTAAAGCAAAGATGTACATTAAACTGTGAACTCAGTGCGGGCCAACGAGTGTATTACATGACAAAGATGTTATCAGTCACTCAGTATGTACATTTAATAATGTTAAAAAGGTTTAATATTTATGAATTAGATCATAAACTTATCCATTTTGTTGCGAGTGCAGTGTGCTTCCAGAGAGGCTCCGCCCCCACACACGCTTCTGATTGGCTGTGATATTTGATTGATTCTGTCGCGTCGCGTCTGGTGTGGACACACAAACTGTTTGTTGCTGGAATCTTGTCGCGTGTAGTTAGGACAGTGTTAGGCACCTGCACCCTGCTGGACAAAAGGGAGATAAATCACATAAGTTAAGCAGCGGGGAACCTCAGGGTTCGTTCGGTGCTTGGTCCTCTCTTTTTCTCCATATACACAATATAACTAAGAACAATCATGCAGATAGTCATGTAGTGTTAGCACATGTAAAAACACGTAATCCGAATGGGGAGCTTCAGAGCTCACCGGTGAGAGCTCAGCTGTTGCTAATGTTGTGTTCTTCTGTCTGTAGTTTTATGAAGCGGATGAGCAGTACCGTCGTCAGGAGGCTCAGCTGAGAGCACGGCTAGATCAGCTGGAGAAAGAGTCTGAGCAGCATCAGGCCGTTGTCAACGCTCTCAACCGCAAATACACAGACGCCATCGAGAAACTGCAGAACGACAAAGCCCTTCTGGAGGTCAGGGACACATTCACATGCTGGAAACCCATTGTGTTCATTAGTAGGGCTGCACAAATAATCACATGTGATAGTCAAGCGCATCTCGTCAGTAAAGCCGGTTCTGTGATCAGTAGTAAATCTCCATCACCTGCTTTCAGATGGAGCAGCATTTACTACACAGAGCCGTAGATCACTGACAAGCTACACAATATCACGATCATGATCACAGATGATATAGCACGATTATGAAATTGTTCTGCGATACTGACAGCTGTTTGCGTAGCTTGTCAGTGAACTACGGCTCTGTGTAGTAAATGCTGCTCCATCTGAAAGCACCACATTTAATAACATGTTTTTACTCCAAACTCACTTCATAACGTCAGTCGAGTGTTTGAAATAAATGCTTCTGTGAGATGATGTGGCTTCTTACACAGAATAAGACACGCAACATATTTCATAGTATTCTAAGCAGTGATAAAGGCTATGTCGATTAGCATTGCATTATCATAATAAGAACTCAGATAAAGCATATAGTCGTGTGTTTATTAGTCACGCTGAATCAGTGAAAGCAGTTAAATCTTCTGTTTATTCAGCTAGTGCTATAGGGATTGCCTGGGTTTCTTCTGCGAGGTGTATTAGGAGTTTCTCTGGCCTTCAGATGGAGATTTACTACTGATCACAGAACCCTGCTTCACTGACGAGATACACATGACTGTCACAGCTTCTGTCTAATCGTGATTGTAATTTATCGTGCAGCCCTAATCATTCGGGATGGGCCTCAAGATGACTGTCATGACAACACTTAAATTACTTTGCACACAGATGGATTTTTAGCTCACTGCTTTGGAGACTATCATTCTGATCTCGTGTGTGCATACGGGCCTCGAGACGTGTCTTCAAGGCATGCTTTTCTGAACTTGACCGCTGTTTCAACCCATCGCTGGTGCTCCTGATATATGATTGATGTTGATGTGTGTATGTCCATGAGGAGGTGTAAACGTGTCTGTTTAATGATGTCAGGTAAAGGCTCAGACGCTGGAAAGAGAAGCCAAGGACTGTCGAATCAGAACTGAAGAGTGGTGAGTATTTACATTCACTCATCACTGCAGTGTAAGGACTATCTCTGATCCTGTGATCCAGGACGCCTGTTTCAAATGCACAGCGTTCCTGTTGTGTAGTGTGATGCATTTTATACTTATCCGGTCCCATTTGGACTATGGGAGTGTAATTTATGATTCTGCCAGGAAATCATATAAACAGATACTTGATACAGTGCAACATCAAGGACTACGGCTTGCTTTGGGAGTGTTCAGAACTCCACCAGTGCAGAGTTTGTTCATTGAAGCCAATGAACCTTCCCTTCAAAACAGTATTTCAACCACAGTGGACCACATACAGAACCAGTTCTATAGTATTATTGTTTGCTGGGTTCCAGGCCATGTTGGGCTTTCAGGAAATGAGCGAGCTGATGCAGCAAAGCAGGCTTTTAATCAGGAAGTAAACACATGTCAAATTCCTCCCTCAGAGATCAGACCTATTATTAATCATATATTAAATAAGTGGCAAGAAGAGTGGGATACATGAACAAATAATGAATTACATGAAATCCATCTGGAAATTTCAAACAGATTTTTAATCTCTTTTAAAGCTAGCTTTGATCAAGTGGTATTTAGCAGATGTGGCATAGATCATACAAGACTGACTCGGGCATTTTTGCTGAAAGGTGAAGACCCTACTCAAAGCATGTTCTGCAAGATTCCCCTTCTGTCAAACATATTTTATTGGACTGTCCAGCTTTTAATGTATATAGAAAACTCTTTTATGAAGTGAACTCACTTAAAGAGTTTAGTATAATTTTGCCAGAAAAAGTTTTAGAATCTTTAACATATGTTGTGTGATGTAACTTGTGTTAGTTTGTTTGCTGGTTTTTATTGTATTTGTTATACTTGTATTTTTTAAACTGTTTTTGCCATGAAAATAGCCTAAGATGCTGACATGGCATTAAATAAATATATACTACTACTGATCCATTTTATCCACCGAGGTGCATCCCATATCCAGATCATAATTAAAGCACACTGAACCAAAGCAGATCTAAGCACAGCTGTGCTGTAACCTGTTCATATGGGTGTCTAAATGAAGATCAGCAGTCACATCTTACTCGGATATCTTCTGAAATATCTCCTCCATTACATGTAGCTGTGACAGTGATGCTGAATAGCTGATGTGTGTGTGTGTGTGTGTGTGTGTGTGTGTGTGTCAGTCAG